TGGAGTCACCATCCCTGGAGGTATTTAAGAAACGTGTAGATGTGGCACTTCAGGGCATGCTCTAGTGCCTGAGATTGTTGGGTGTGGTGATTTTTTGTGGTGATGGGGTGCAGGTTTTTTTATTTGGTGTTATGTGTTAGTGTGTTGGTTTTTTTTTTTGGGGGGGGGGGGGTTAACTAGTAGAGTTCAAGATATGTTAGAGCAATGAAATTTTTTTAGTTTTTCATGTCCATGCAGCACATGGGTTGTGTAGGCCATGGACAGAACCCAGCTCAAGAGGTCCTACCTTGGCCTCAGTAACCTGTAGATGAACTAGAGCCTTTCTTCCAGAACACCATCTAGTCTCTACAGCAGGACAGCAGGTGCTGATGCATCTACTGCATCCTTTGTAAAGGATGCTGATGGCTAATTACTCTTTTAATGAACCATTGCAGGTTTTCTATTGAAGTGGTTTTTTTTAGTTTCAGCTTCCAGCCCCATGACCTGTTTCTAGCTGGGTGAGATAGCTGTTACCTGGGATCTTTTGTTTCTGCTCAGTGTGCTCAAGATTTCTTTTAATCTTCTCTTTGATCAGTTAAATAAGTTGAGTTTGTCACTGTGTTCTCTGGATCTTAAATTATTCCGTATGTATCCTTTCCGTTTTTGTGTGATGTCAAAACAGGATACATCAGTCTTGCAGTATTTTCAATATTTTACTACCCCGCTGTTCCCACTGATTGTACATCCAAATTACCTTGGATAAAAAAAAAAAAAAAAAAAACGCCATCATTTTTGCAGTATTTTCAATATTTTACTACCCCGCTGTTCCCACTGATTGTACATCCAAATTACCTTGGATAAAAAAAAAAAAAAAAAAAAAAAAGAGCCCTTAGTTTTTTCTCCTGTTCAAGATAAAATCATGTAGACTTGGTTATGAATGACATGAGTGACAGTGCCATCCATCTAGAAACAGATTTGGAAATGGCGATTCCCTCCTCTGGGAAAGCAGTGACTCCAGAGCTCTAGCAGAGCAGTGGCTGTGGAATTTACGTAGCTGTCTAGATTAGACGGTCGCATTTTCAGGGCAGAAATGTAATTTTCTTATTAAAACCCCAGAGACAGTAAAAATAATGAATCATTTTGTTACTGTTTCCAGTCCCTGGTACCTCCATGTGCTGTGGCATGGATGGAGTGGCCTTCATTTTGCTCAGTCCCACTGCAGTGGCAGGGTGGTTAGAAAGACTGGTAACTGTGCTCCACATTTTCATCCTATTCATGAACTGTAATTTTCTGTTGTGTCTCAAATAATAAGAAGCAAATGGTGTGAGGCTATTTAATACTGAGTATATTTAAGCATTTCCAGCATTTCTGTATATTTCCTGTGTACGTATGTGTTAGGTGTTGATACAAGTCACTTCTGTGTTGTGGCCCTCCCAAATCTGATGGACCAATCTGTCAATTAAATGGTATTTAAGACTCTTTTCAAAGAAGTGTCTTGAAGAAGGTTAAACTTAAATACATTACTAACTTTAAATGGTGTATAGTACTTTAACTGGATTAATGCAAAGCACAGCTTGACAACATTACAGAAACACAATTCCTGTAAAACTCATCAACTTGATGTCTTCTAGGTGCGTAATCTCACTTACATGGTGACCCGAAGGGAAAAAATCAAGAGATCTGTTTGCAAAGTTCAAGAACAGATATTTAATATCTACGCAAAGCAGTTGGAACAAGAAAGAGTTTCAGGTATGTCTCAGTGTTACCTTTTTCACATAAGACCACAGGCAGAAGCATCGACAGGTTTGGTTACAGGCTAATGACTAATTCTGAAGGACAAACAGGATTTTGAGAATCTCATTTGTTCTCATTAAGATCTTGTGTAGTCCACCATGCATCAGCAGACTGGAAGAAAATATAAGACTCTGTGTAGCTCTAACGGTGGGCACATTGCTACAGAAACTGGTACGTCTGTGTTCTCCTCCATGGGGCACTGAGGAACTTGCTGCTTCAGAGCCTTTCGGGTGTGATTCTTTAATGACTCCTGGTGACAGGGAGACCATGACTTACATTCAGATGCCATATGGTACCCAGGAAGGCTGTGGTTTATTAGTGCCACTGCATTAGTGTATAATATCTGCTTCTTTGCATCATAGATGGCAGTTTCAAGAAACAAATTTTGAAAAGGTAGCACTCTGGTTTTAAAGCATGGGGTTTTCCTGCCTAATCTCATTGACAGTTGCCTTTTCTCAGAAGGATGAATAACTTCAAAGTTAGTGCATTAATGAGGTTGTTCTTGAAGTATTCAGTAACAAACCGTATTTTAGATGGAATCAATCAGATCCACTTGCTGGTTGCTTTTCCCCCCCTCTCTGAGGAGTGTCTCTGGCATAATGAACACAGCAGTGCTATGATTTATATTAGCTACAAGCGTAACGAGGTGCAGCCTGGCTACAGGAACAGTAAGCTACCAGCAGGATGTTGTGAAACCAAGACGTGGCCACCTAATCGTGACGTCAAGGTGCGGGATAGGAAACCAAATACCCATTTATGCTGAATAACATCAGGCATGAGGAGAGTTAAAATAGGTACATTCAAAAAATGGTATTTACCCAGACATGGAATTGCTTTGACTTCTGCTTAATTTGTTTACGTTTAGGTGTGCCTTCCTCATTCCCCTCAATGGAAACCACGGTGTTGTTCAACAGTCCATCTTTGGGCCCCAACGCCCCCAAGATCGAGGATTTGAAATGGCATTCTGCCTTCTTCAGGAAACAGATGGGCACATCTCTAACCCACGCCTTGAAAAAGCCACACAAGAGAGACAGAATAAGAAACAGCTCTGGGAGTGACGGGAAGTCCACGCTGAGGCAGCCCGGCCAAAGGGAGGGCAGTGCAGCTCCCGCCAGCTTCTTAAACTTTGACAAGACCTTTGCAGAGACGCGGATTGTATCAGCACAGCAGAAGAACGGCGTAGTTATACCAGACCACAGAAAAAGAAGAGACAATCGTCCACAGTGTGAGGTGATCAAGGCAGAACTAAAGGAAAAGACTTCTAAACACAACCACAAACCGCTGAGACCCACGGAACTCTCTCAGAGGCAATCGGAAAACAAAAGGGCTACGAACCACTCCAGCGGTAGGTCAGCGCCTGGCACGCGGAGGGATATAGTGCCTAAATGCAACGGGGGCCTCGTGAAAGTAAACTCTAACCAGACAGTAGTTAAAGTGCCTACGACACCCACCAGCCCGGTGAAAAACTGGGGCGGATTCCGAATTCCAAAGAAGGGGGAGAGACAACAGCAGGGCGAGAGCCCGGAGGAGACCTGCCGCCAGAACTCCAGCTACCCCTACCTGGGCGTGGGCAGAGTTTCACCCAAGGACAGGGCAAAAAGCAAGCTAAAGCCCGACAGCGAGAATGATGGGTACGTCCCCGACGCCGAAATGAGCGACTCGGAGACCGAAGTGGCTGAAAAAAAGTGCAGGCAGCAGAGGCTCAGTCCAAACAGCGGCATCAGCAGAAGGACGGACATTATTAGGAGAAGCATCCTGGCATCCTGACTGAAGGCAGGGACGCGGCGTCAGCAGCGCGGTCGGTAGAGTCACTGCCTACCAGCCAACTCCACATTATTTATTGGTGTGAGAGAGGAGAGTTCTTGGACATGGCTACAGACTGACAAATTGATAACCCTTTATTCCTGAGCTGTGTAAACATGTTTACATGCACTTAAAAGCTGGGGTTTTTTTGCCCCTCCCCCCAGTTCTGTGAGAAGTTTAAATCTCCTTTATTTGCAACTTCCCCGAGTAAGCAGAGAAATGCCATCACTATTAAACCCGGATTTGTGATGAACACTAAAGTAACTCACAAAAACCTTTTGGAAGGGGCTAGGGTGGGTAGGGGGAAGTAGGCTGCATTCACCCCTTTTAGCTAAAAAGCACTGATAAAATTTTACTCCCTTCCCCTGCCTTCTGGAAAAGCACAAGCTCTTAATTTAACTAGCACGTACTGGACTGACGATGGTGGTTTAACCATACTGCACTGCTAAACCCCAGTACGAATGGTCACTTCCCTTGGATGAGGGTAGGGCTTTCTCTGCAGAAGGTTTTCTGTTGCATTCAGCTTAAGCGCAGACGGCAGCGCAGAACCCTCCACGAGCTCCAGAGTTTACATGTAAATACACCTGCCAGGTGACCAGATCTAACCAGGACGTCACACTGGAGGAGGAAGGGAAGGTCAGGGCTGCAGCTGCCTGACAGTGCAACAGCTCGAAAAGCCTCCGGCTGAGCCCAGGGGACACACTCAAAGGGCAGGGGCAGAGGCACCGCACGGAATAACCCCTTTAGTCAGTCACCTGCCTCCGGGAGTACGATGACAATTCATGGAAAAATGTTCTAAGGCACTAGTCAGTAGGATTTCCCAAAGCCCACCGGATATGCACTAATGGTATGTATTGGGAAAGCCAGGCTTATGACACTAAAGGGTTGCTTTAAAATGGACATGAATATATATTTTTAAATAGATTAAAATGGAAAGGCAATAAATTGCGATTAGCTCTTTACAGTCAAATGAAGAAAAAAAAGTATTTCATTCTATCCTGGACTAGATTTGATGGAAGAGGGAACTCATATTCTGATTGTGTACTTTTTTTAATAATTGCAAATGGCAATAACTAGTAAGCTATGAGCAATAATAATATGAACAGATCATTAGGATACTGTTTTGTACCAAGTAGAGGGCACATGTAAGAGTGGAGTGTTAGGAGCCTGTACGTTTTGGAACTCTGCCTGGATGTAAGTCAGGTCTGTACTGGGGAGTAAGTTTCAGCAGCGACGTGTTCCAGAAAGACAGGCATAAGAACCCCCTTCCGCCCCCGCTCCCCAGCCTGCCCTTACCACATCCACTCCCCTTGCCTCTCGAGGCATTCAAAACACAGAACTCTGCCATAACTGAGTCTTCCAGAGGATTCCATAAAAAAAAAAATAAAAAAAAAAGGCAAAAAAAAAAAAGAGGCTTATAACACCCTATCTTGCTATGCAAGTTAGCACTGAATTAAATATTTCAACAAAATGCATCCCTATCCTTTGTTTTAAAACTCAAAAGTCTTAACCTTTTGATACCTTTTGGGATGATGTTGAGGAAGGGGAATTTTACGAAAGATAGTGTACTTTTAAAATACCACTGCTGGTCCCAAGAAGTTAGATTAACTTCCTGTCTTACAGATATGAAAGTCAAACAGGGCACTGGTGAATGTGAAATTATATAGTCACTCTGGGGATACTCTTGGGATGTGTTAAAAGAGAAGTACTTATTTGATCAACCACCACCAGACAGACAAAATGTAAATGCAGGTAAGTTCCACTGGACACACAGCAATGTTTTCCAGACGGGCACTGCTGTTTTCTCTAAGAAGGAAGCTCGTGACCATATAGGGAATTGTTTGTCAAGCCATAGAAGGAATAATCTAAATTTTGATTCTAAGTAAACATTTAACCTCACACCAGTTTGGAAGAGGTACCTTGTTAATTTGCACTATTATGAATGCTAATGTTGTGCAGAATTAATGCCTTATCTGTTTTGCTCCCCGAAGTTTAGGTTAATAAGCTTTCTAATGTTTCAAGTTAAGCTGAACCAAAACCAAAAAAGCTGTCAGAGGAGTGCAGTAGGAGCAGCTCTGTAGGTTAGTTTTGTCTCCCACGCTTAACCCTCAGCAGAAGAGGTGTCCTAAGTCCAGCAGTGACAATACAAACCCACCCCTCTCTTCTATTGGGATAGACCCATTTGCTGAATTTCTGTTTTTAAGCATTACCTTTCCTTGTGCAGACTGACCAAGAGATCTTTGACTACGATTGGTGTATTCTGTCAAGCTGTAGGCTAGTTGAACTTCTGTAGAGTTGCCTGGAATGCCGTTTGTTAGGTTATGAACTCACACGAATCTAAATGAAGGGTTATACGTGTTGTGTATAAATCTTAATTTCAGAAATTTGAGAAAATTGTCATTACATTTGTAAAACCTTGTACAGAAGATTTTTCACTATGTGCCTAGCTTTGGTGTCCATTCAGCTGAAATTAATTAAAAAAAAAAGGTGCATGAAGAGAAACAGATAGAAATAAAAAGTATATGTAGAGATGACTATTTTATATTACATGGCCCAATCCTGTATTTATTTTCTCCCTTTTTTGAAGTATTTATAAAGACCTAGTTGAAGACAGCTGTATTTTTTGTTAAAATATTCAGTAGAATTGTGCCTTTTTGTCTGTATGTGAATAAATGCTGTACATTTTTGCAGTATCTTTGCCAGTAGCGTTTTAGAATTTGCAGCAGTTATTTTGTTTTGGGTTTTTACATAAACACTTCACTGCAATGATCTGAGCAGCTTCCATGGTTAAAAGAAGCATGTAATTTGGATTATTACAGGTATCAAAACGTGCACTGCAATTGCAAGAGAAAGGTAAGTTTATTTTTGAGGACTAGTGTAGGATCTTGTTACTGACAGCTCTGCCGATCCCAGCAACGGAAAAGTGTGTGCTTTTTCCCACTAGATCCTCAAAAGGTTGTTGCTTACCTCACGTAGGTTACATTTGTTGATATGAGATGCTCTTCCAAAGTCCATAATCTTTACGCATGTTCCACTGGAGGAGCACCATGAGGCTTCTTACCTGTAGATCTTCAAGATAAGTGCACTGGATGTACCCGCACACTATGAACTGCTAGGAAGCAATGCTGACACACAACATGCGCTGCCGTAGGGGAGGAGGCCTGAAGGGCACAGTAGCTCCTTTCTTCTCGCTTCCTCTAAACTCCAGATGTGGAAACATGGAATGGACTTGGGGCAGAGCAGGAAAAGGAGAAGGTTGTGAAGGCATACATCTAGCAACAAGTCTTGGAAACCAGTAAGTAATTTTACTTGTATCACATGCATTTATATTGTGGGCAACTGTGAGTGGCACCCCTTAAAAAACTATTTCAAAGACTGAAGATTAAAGGCTGGCCCTTAGAAGAGCTACTGGTACAGGCTCTTCAAGGCTTGAATAAAAGCCTGGAAGAGGTTCTTGCAGGTGCTTTATAGCTCTTGCTGGCAGCAGCCTTTCTGAAAGGCACCGCACTGCTGGGGGTACCCAAGTAAGACTGGGTCAGAGCTGAGGGCAGTTAGCAGTGATAGAGCTTTCAAGATCTGGACTTTGCCAGAAGGTACAGAGCTCTTGGGAAGACCCAAAATGAAATGCATGCTACCTTCATATTAAGTTACTTTCATGTAATGGGCGAGACAAACTATCACCTAGAAACTTTTCCTAAATAAACGTAGTCAAGAACAAAGTTTTACTCAATGGGAAGCATTAATATTGCACTAGATCTTATAAAACACTCAAAAACTGGGGTTGGGGTGGGAACAGAAGGTAAGGGAAACAAAAACTTCTCAATGGAAGAGTGACAAGAAATACACAAATAGAAACAAATGTAAAATGACAAAGATAGATGAAAAGCCGCCTGCTTAATTCCAGGGAACAATCCAGTATCATGGGGGAAAGCGCAAAACGTACTTATCTAACCAGCAAGCCTCAGTTTTAATTGCCTCAGCAAGTGCCTTTCCTCTGAAAGTCCAGTTTGTGAGCAACAAGCCAGCAGCCTCCTCTGGAAGCCAAACAGAAATGAAAGGAGGCGGTAGGATGATTGGCTTAACTTGACCACGTTCCTTTTGTCCTTCAGAGAGATGGATTTGCCCAGTTCATAGTGGCTCAGAGGATCGGGCAAACAGATGAAAGCAAATCTTTTTCTTTCTATGTCATTTGCCATAATTTCTCTGCTGCCATTTAACTTTACTATGAGGTGCTTGTGTCATCATTGCAATTTACGTTCTGGCAAATAACCATTACACAAGAGCTACATCACAAGTTGAAATGAATCTATCCATAATGGAAAGACAATCAAGCAGATGCCCTCCTGTGCCTGGAGGAACAAATGCACAAATACTGTTGCTCAAGAAACTTACAATTACTTGCCGTTTTCAGCCAGGTTTCACTTCACAGCTAGAGCCTCTCTTTAAGGAGTGAATGGGATTAATAGCTCACACAAAATCTTCCAGGTGGTCTCTCACCATCTCAGATGTGCATTATGCAAATGAAAATAAGGTGCCTGGTACTTACCTCCCTCTGTATCACATACGTGGTTGATTGATGAAAATCTCACCACAACAGACGTTTGGAGCTTCTGGACAATGCAGCCACGTTACTTTGAAAAAATCCTTGAAGTCTTTTAGCAGAATTAGAGATTGCAATGGATACAGGCAGGTAACAAACTGAGAAAGCACTAGGAAAGAAGCCTGTACAACTGTAGGAAAGGGTAAGTAGAAACTGTTCTTGAGGTTTCATCGACCTTGCAGGCTCTACTTGAACAACCAGGTTTTCAAGAGATGGCACAAACTCCCTTCCATGTGGTGATCAACCAGGTCTGTCCTCTAAAATGCAAATATGGTGGTCATCTGCTGTGACAGATGTATGGATTTGCTAGTCCAAACCAACAGCTTTCATTGAGCACTAGGTAAGTAAGCATTGTCCATCAACTGAATTAGAAGTTACAATCCAGAATTATACTCTTCACATTGAAGAGGAAGGACAAGAAATTACGTCACTTAAGTCCAAGATAGGAGCACTTCAAAATCAGTTAACACCTATCACACGTTTGCAATACATGCTGAAACAGAAAACAAGAGCTCTAATGAGCTCTAATTTTAGAATGATAATATGTGAAGTTTCTCAACTATCAAAGCAAATCGTGTCTGCAAGAGAATTCCCACATACTGGCAGCTGAAGAATTCGAACACACTATTTCAAAACACATAAAAACTGGATGACTTGGCCACCAGCTTTGTGCAAGTTGAAGTAATGGAGAACTGAAGCACCCAGACACATAACAAACCAAGAGAGCAGATCACCAGAAAAACAAGGAACAACTGTAAAATAGTAATTAGAAAGGAAAAGCACAACTGAAGAAAAGATTATGGTCCTTAGAACCGAGGTGTATGAATAGCCATAGCAGCATTTTATTATCTGTTTCCCAGAGGCTTCAGAAAAAACTGAATTGAATATTTAAAACTGGAAGGCAATGAGGGCATTTGGCAGCTGTAACGCCTGCCATAAAACCATTTGACACTCATGATGTAATTAGTGTCTTAATACAATCCATAAAAGATCTTCAAACTGTTCCCAAGTTACTGCATTACAAGGAAAAAGTAAAGGTATGGACCGTTTGTGAGCAAAGCTGTTCATGAATTCCAGTATAATGTTATCTAGTCCCTGTACACAGTCATGTCAGAGTTGGAGCTGGTGTTTTCTAGACCAAAAAAGACCAATACAGCACTGTATCAGATTGTTTCATCTGCTATATTAAAAGACTTTAATTACAACATTTTGCAGTCTTCCTCCGATCTTTACTATGCACACAGATACAGTATCTTCATCCACCCCCTTTTCTTACCTGAATACAACAGAAAATATTTATCTAAGTTTTACAAGCCTTGCTGTGCATTTGACTTTAATGCTCCAATATGAAGTTTCTCCAGGAATCTTAACTCCAACGTGGTGTGAATGAACAATATATGTGTTTAAATATTTTCCAGATCCTTCAGGGAAGCAGCTTTTTTCTTCTGTGTTGTTATCAGGCTGAGCTGTCATTAAAAACAAAGAGATAGTGCCTTAAATAATTTTTCATAAGATTGAAGTATTGGCAGAACTTCAGTATGAAAGGTGTCATGAAGGACAGGGACTAAGCATAGGTAAGTGGGAATTTGGGGTAAACAATCTACAGAATTACTCTACAGATGACTATTGCTTTTGTCTTTCCTCAGATCACAAAGAATTCAAGCTGATGAAAGATTAGGTAGCACTATTACGCTTTAAAGATACCTACAAAGAACACACACATTTTAAACCGGTGCAAACATTATCCTGTATTTTTTATGTTTCTTACTGAATTACTATTCTTTAATAATAAGCTAAGATAGACAGACACTGAACTAACCGTAATAAAATTGCAATTTCTAGACTCCCTAATAGTCTAGCACTAGCCTGTACTGGATTTAATTTCACAAATAAGCTAGATAATGTAATGAGAATACACAATTAAGTCAAGTCAGAACGTAGCCCTTAACCTACAGATGCGGAGTTACCAGTCTGAATCAGAGGAAGTCCACACCTGAACATTCAGTCCTGAGAGAGCTAGAAGAGAATAAACACTTTGTTTCTTCAGATTCAGAAGAGTGGACATTCTTGTAGCAGTACTCCTGGAGCTGGCTTTGTTCCAGGCTTTAGCAGGAACAGCACTAGTATGTCTTTTTGGGAGGGGTGGAGAGAAAGAGCCTTGGCACAGAAGTTGTTAAGTCACTACAAGAAGCCATGCCTGACAGCTGGCAGCACTAACCTCTGCCAAGCCTGAAGAGGGCAAGGCAGTTCTGAAGGCTGGCAGTAAGATCTGGAGAACAATTTAGCAGCTAAACATCTTATCAAATCTCTTTTATGTTTCAGAGGGAGATTGATGAGGAAGAGTTAATTATCAATGTTTTCAGGAACAGCAAGTTTTCTCATATGGGCATTGAGGCCAGGAATTTACTCCTTTGAAAGGTGATGTGACCATGTTTTTTAAGGTAAGATGGCACCTCATAAATATTAAAGCTGAACAGATCCATATAACAAACAGGAGGTAAAAAAAATAAATATATCATTCTTTCAGAGCAAATCTTCACCAGCTGGGCAGGCCTTGTCATGACAGAGAGCATTTACAGCCAGGAAACACAGCTTATGTTATAATAGCTTGGCAACTACACCCGTTTATTCACTGCTGTTGGGGGAAAAATAATGCCCTTTGTCCTAATTGGACAATTTAGATCAACAAAACATTTCCTCTCTGCAACTCACATGGGCTCACCCACACTAAAAAGCTGTAATTTGCAAATGGGTTTCCTAAATCACCGTAAAAAATTAGGAGGCAGAAAGACCACCTTTACTTAATAGGAGACCAACTTGAGTAACAAATTTGCTTGGCAAATAAGTGAACCCAGTGTCATGGGATTTGCTCCATGATGTATAGCTTGAATAGTATGTAAAAAAGAATGCTGGATGGAAAAAAAACCATCTACTGTCCAGCAGAGAAAATAGAGAAAAATAGGTAGCATGGGGCTTAGACAACTGAAGTCCGAAGTTTCTCTCTCTGCAGAGAAGAAAACCTTTCCTTCCACTATCCCTAATATCTAGAAACATTGAGTACTACTACTCAAAGTTGGAACCGAGTTGTAAGAG